GCGGGTAAGGTCTGCTCGTTTCACACTCATCGGGGATCAGCTGTATAGGAGAGGATTCAGTACCCCTATCCTCCGATGTGTAACCAGTGAAGAAGCAGACTACATCATGAGAGAAATTCATGAAGGGATCTGTGGTAACCACACAGCAGCTCGATCTCTTGCGAACAAGATTGTTCGCCAGGGATATTATTGGCCCCAAATCCAAGAAGATGCACACAACTTTGTCAAGAAGTGCGACAAATGCCAGCGGTTCGCAAACATTTCGCGAGCACCATCTCACGAGCTGGTTACTATGTCAAGCCCCTGGCCATTTTCCATATAGGGGATCGACCTTATTGGCCCCATGCCAGCTGGGAAGGGAGGGGTCAAGTACGCCGTGGTCGCGGTAGACTATTTTACAAAATGGGTCGAAGCCGAGCCTCTAGCTGCTATCACGACCAGGAAGTTAAGAGACTTCGTCTTCAAGAACATAGTGTGCCGTTACGGAATTCCTCACACCCTTATCTTAGATAATGGAAAGCAATTCGATAATGAGGAGTTCAAGCAGTTCTGCGACGAGTTGGGCATCCATAAAAAATTTGCCTTAGTCGCCAGGCCGCAGGCGAATGGCCAAGTTGAAGCAGTCAATAAGACCATCAAGCACACTCTGAAGGCCAAGCTCGGGGCAGCCAAGGGAAATTGGGCTGACGACCTCCCCGAAGTTTTATAGGCGTACAGGACAACTCCAAGGACCTCTACCTCGGAAACCCCATTTTCGCTGGCCTATGGCTGTGAAGCGATGATCTCTGTAGAGGTCGGGACCGGTTCTCTTCGGAGGGACCTGTACAATGAGGACGACAACGAAGCCCTTCTGAGAGCAAGTTTGGATCTAATTGAATAGCGTCGTAGCAAGGCTTCGCTAAGGATAGCAGCCTACCAGCAGCGAGCAAAAAGGTTCTTCGACTCAAAGGTCTAGCGAAGAGACTTCCAGGTCGGAGATTTGGTGCTAAAGGAAGTTCTCCTCGGGACCAGAAAGCCAAGTGCGGGGGTAGTAGGGCCCAACTAGGAAGGTCCGTACCGGATCGACAAAGTGATCAGACCGGGGACCTACCATCTCAAAAGATTGAACGGCTCCAAGGTACCCCGAGCTTGGAACGCCTAGCACCTTCGGCCATACTATCAGTAATCCCAAACTCAGCTCAGTTTTTGTTAATTTCTTTTTCAAGTATTACACTGTTTGCTTAAAACAGTTCGAATGTGTTCTGTTCGCATGTAAGAATTTATATGTAATCGCTTATGTAAATCACAATTGTAAACAGTGCATATTTATAAAAAAGCAAACTTCAATTGTAAAGAAAATGTCATGTACAAAAAGTCTAGACTCGGGTACAACGGGAACGACTCTCTAACACTACGGCTGGTCGGGAAAATCCTTTGAGCTGGAGCCACCTGCTTGGTCGGGTCCCTGGGCGGTCGCGGCAGCCTGGTCCTCCTCGGCCATGAGCCGCAAGGTCACCTGCCAGAGCTCTGGGAGATCGGAGAAGTCCAAATCAAGGTTCCTTGCACGCAGGGTGTAGATGGACCCGATCGCCCAGTCCGCGGCCTTCTCCTCCATCTCCCTAGACTGATTCTGCATTTCCGCAGTCAGTGCAGCGACCCTCTCCCGACTCTCCTGAAGCTCGGCCTCAAGGGTTAGCCTTTCTTGTTCGAAGGCCCCTTTATCTTCTTCAGCTAGCTGAGCCCGTTCGAAAGTCGCCCGCATTTCCTGGTCCTTTTCGTCGACCTCCTTGGTGAGCCAGGCGGTTGTCCTTTGAAGCTCTTTAATCTCCTCCGCACGTCAGTTGAGCTCAGCCTTTTGGAAATCCACTGATTGCAAGGCGGCATCCTTTTGGTGCAGATATCTGTCCGCCGTTTTGAATGCTTGTGCTCTTTCAGCTTCGACACCAAGCTCTGCTTAAGCTTCGCGACCTCCTCTTCCAGGTCGCTTGTCCCCTTCGCGTCCCCCAGCCGCGTCTTCTCCATGGACATCCTCATCGCAAGCAATCCCTGTGAGCAGAGTACGAGTTAGAAATAGACCGGATTGAAATTTCAAGTACGGCTAGCCTTACCTTGCTCAGATGTTGAAACGACGTAGCCAGCAGGTCGTCGCCCGTGTCCGCAAATTCATCGTACGACTCTGATAGCTCACAATCGAGCAGGCCATATACGATGGGCTGAAGGTACTCGGGTAGACTCCCCAACGAGTCTAGAACAGGTGCGTCCTTCACCTTGTCGCTTGCACCTGCCTCGCTCATGGGCTCCTTGCCCGACCTCCGGGATCCCTGGCGTGACCTTAGAGGCTCTCCCTCTGATTCAGTCTCCGACTCGTCAGGCTGAATCTGCTTTCTCTTCTTTGACCTCTGGGCCAGAGCCTTCCGCTTGGGGCGAATAGTCGGTGCCTGAGCGACTTGTTCTGCCCTGGTTGCCCCTTGCGCAGCAGGGCGGGGCTGGGAAGCTGGGACTGTTCGCACCGGCTGTGCTGAGACAGTACGAGCAGCATCAGCCTCCCTCTCGATCCTTGATCGAGGAAAGACAAACGGTGCTCGGCGGGACTGCCCGGACTCCTTTGGGGGCATCGTTTCTGCATTCAAGGTCGTTAGTAAACGAAATCATTCTACGACCAGAAGGGAACCAAGTGTAACTTACCTTCCGGAGGTTCTAAGGACGCCTGGTCGCTAAAAAAACCGTACTTCTGCAAGTTCGCGGTGGTCACAAGCTTCCTTGCATCACGACTATCCTCGTCTAGTACTCTGAAGGACACAAGCCTGTCCCGATCAGTGAGTAGCGACTGCTTGGTCATTCTATTAACTGTAAAAAAAAACAGGCCGTTATCGTGGATCAGGCGAGCAGATAATAGACTCAGCAAGAGAAAACCTACTTGGGATTTGAAAACGGCAATGGCAGTTGTAAAAGAAAAAGAAGAACTTCGTCTTGTAGGCTCCTGCATTGCTGGGATAGCTGTGTATCCCCGCGGCAATGGTAGGTCGCCGAGACAGGTAGTACGAGTCCTTGTCCCTACTCTTCTTAAGGTAGTAGGTGACACCGAGCTCCACCGCCGTCGGCTCTCCCAAGCCGCTCTCGCAGCACGTGATGTACATTGCGATAGCGATGACATACGCGTTTGGCGTCAATTGCATCGGTGCGATCTCGAAATAATCCAGGACCGACCTGATGAAAGGATGGAAGGGAATCCTCCCTCCACCCTTGAAGATCTCCTCAGAGATCGCGGCAAGGCCATCGGCCGGGCGTCGTGATGACCTGGTGTGGTCGAGGAACACCTCCGCGCGGATATCGTACTGCGTCTTTATTCTATTAAACTCCTTGGAAGTGAGAACCGAGTAGACCTCAAGGGTTGCATCCTCGGGGACTTCCCGCGAGGACGAGCTGGCTCCTTCCTCAGGTCTGGATGTTGACGGTTCCATCCCAGTCTGCAACATCGACAGACATGGTCATTAGGGCCTTTGTGTTCGTCCCGAGTAACGATATGGGACACCTTAAAATCTACAAGTGACTCGAGCCGCCATCCACGGCTCGAATCCAATGACGGTGTCGCGTCTCCAGTGAAACGCCGGGAAACCCAATGCCACTATTCAACCAAGCCAGTGCGAAAAAAAGAGATAAGGGAAAAGAAAAACCTTACTCTCTGAAATGGCAAGCTGAGGCCGAAACTCGTTTTGATTGCCTGCAATGCGCCGGTCGGAAGAAAATCGTCCCTGGTGCGTAAAGGTTAGTCACTTGAAGCGAAAGAAATTTTAGTGACCTCATAAGAAAAATGCAAGTTTTTATATGGATTGCGAATCGACGGTTACCACCCCTTGGAACTGAAATGATAATCCACTCTCTCTCCCTGCATTAAATGCGCCCCACGACGCATTAAATGACGCGGTAATGGTCGTCATTTCGGTTACGCTGCGCCACTACCGCTGCCAAACGGTGCCAGCTCAGCACGCGAGGCATTTAATGTGCCTGAAAAGCTTTAACACACGCAGACTGCATGACAGCATGAAACCAGGTTCATCGAATCTGTACAAGAGGAGCGCCCCCCAGATCCAGGTCGCTAAAGTGGAGATTGTCAGGTCGCTCTGATAGGAAACAGCGTGAGATCGTGTTCGCCAGATTCCTGTGCCGAGCTCATCCCATTCAGGTCGGAGCAACCAAAAGACTCCGACGTGACTTAGTTTCCAAGGTCCGACCCTCGAACCTTAAAAACTAGGGGGCTTCTGTTATGCCCAGGAAAATGAAGGGCTGACGTGGGAAAGTCACGTGAAGGGTGACCTGCTCCCGTCAGAGCAGGTCGCACACGTCAGACCTGCCAAGTGATATGGAGCCCACACGCGTCCTTTTTTCTGCAACAAGTCGTGCGATGTCAGCTTGGGAAAAGGGAAATGGGACGTAAAGCCGGATTACATCCTCACAATCACACCAAACCATGGATTTAGTGATGATTATACGCTTTAGTCTGATATAAAATGAAGAAGACCCCTTCATTAAGGGGATTCGGCCATTTTTCATACAACAAAAGAAATCCCTTTCTCCTGTAATCATTTTTGACTTTTTTGTCTTATGAAAGTCAGCTCGCGATCGCGACCTGACACCCACTCATATCAATACAAATCAGTGGACGTAGGACTTGCTACCTTAGCATCCGAACCACTTAAAAAACTCCCTTTACATTTATTTCGCTTTTATATATCTCTTTTTCATGTGTATTGAACAGCCAATCAACGTTATACACGTGAGAATTCGTTGGTGCTTAAACTGAGCATCAACAAAGGTATAGATATCATAGTGTGTATCTGCATCAGTTTTTATTCCATAGACAACATGAACTTTGTTTCAATGAGGACAAATACTCAGCTTGATGGCAACCTATATCCTGGGCAGCCATAACTTAGATGTCGACTGTAACCACTGCCTGGCATTACAATATGAGTTCATAATATATATGCATGTCCTTAAAAGATAGAGAACGTTATACTTACAGTCATTACTCCTGTTGCTGCACTGACACCAGCCTCACCAAATAAAGCTGTTGCTGCCTCTGTGACTAACTCAGTGGCTCCAATATTAGCCACACTTAATATGTAACTAGAATCTATAAAAGAACTAATTTTCAAACTCAATATGAAAAGAAAAGAATTAGTTACGCTTACATTAAGGGGGCGGGTAGAACATTGTGCCAATGAGAATAGTCATCAAAAACCGAGTAACATCACTGCAAAGCATTTTAATGACACCATTATCAGGCTCTTTTTCTGCCAGTTCCCGCACCTGATTCACAATAATATCAAATGGCCAATTAGAACAAATAAAACTATTTGAAGAGATGGCAACCATCTACTTACACCAACAAGTACCATATGATGTTTCAGTTAACATCCTTTATGCTGAAACAGGTAAGGTGGTTTATCATTCAAAGAGCTTGCGCTTATTTTATTAGTCCAGATATTCTCAGTCGGCTATCCCTCAACTACAGCCAACTAAAACCCAAAAAAACAAAGAAAAAGCATTCACAACACCTCGACGGAGCACAGTCTAATATTGTACACAACATTATATAATTGTACTTTATAAGTACATATGATAAAGCAGCATAGAATAAATAAAATAAAATAATTTGTTTTTCAAAATAATAACACAATGTGAAATAAACCACCAACATCAAAATGACACCAAATAAGCTAACACACTACCAAGACCAGAATAATAACAAACACTTAAATGCATAATTTGTGAACACACAATTACATATACAGTAAACAAACACAGACTAGCTCAAGAATTGTATACCTTCCAAGGTCAAAGCATGGTGATAGACATCTCAGCCACTGAATAGAACGCAGACAACCCCAAAAGCACAGCCAAAACCAAACCTTGTTCTTTAAACACTCTCAAAACCTGAGAAACTTTAGGCCAAGCATTCTTCAACAACAATATGCCCTGTCAAATAACTCCGTACTCTGCATTTACTGCACTCTCCACAGCAAAAACTCTCTTGCAAACAAACACCAAAACCCCACAAACAAGCACCCCTAAAACGACTCCCTCTTTCATCAAAATCTTAATTTTCTCTGCATTTGAATCCAAAACTTCATTTTTTTCACGACCTAGTTCTGCAGTGACATTGTTTATTGGTTTCACGTGGGTTCTAGTGTCGAAAATTTTGTTTTTGGGCAATCTAGAAATATGAAACTTTGGACAGTGATGAATTCTGGGTGAAATCTTGATAGGAGATTTAGAACATCGATTTTGGTGAGGAAAAACGAGTTTTTTATTGTTGGAACGAACGTGGGTCGATTGAAAACCGGAGATTCAAGAGCAAAAATCCATGAAATATGAACAAAAACGAATTAAAAATTGAAATTTTGATAAATCCCAGCAAAAATAATTTGAGGAAAAAGAAACCCAGAATTTAAAAGTCAAGAATTAATGGGAAATTCGGTCAAAATTTGAGAAATGAAAAGATTGAGATATGTACAAGAATTTATGGGTTTTGGCCCTTTTGGGATTGAGTTTATTAGTGAAAGTGAAAAATGAAGAAGGGATATAAACGGAATATAGGGTTTTGTTGAGGGTAAGAGAGGGAGAAGATTTTGGGCCTTTTGGGATACAGCTGAAATGGGAGATTTAGAGAAGCGAAAGTGGAAACTCTTCCATTCAACCATGGCAAGTGTGTTGCGATAAATTACTAGGATTGCCCTGAGTAAGTTCTAAAATTACAACAATATCCTTACTTATTTTAAATAATATAAAAAACTCTCTGAATACCACGATTAATAAAACACAATAGGATTAAACAGAATTAGAGATAAATATGTAAAGCACAAAGTTTCTTCAATACATAACTTATTCACTAAAAACTCCCATGAATGCAAGATTAAAATTCAAGAGCCTAACAGTCAAATATTCAGGCTGGCAAAAGTTCTCATGCAAAAGCTTAAAAATAAAACACTAACGATAGAACTAATAAATGTATCAGGAAAAACATAAGATTACCATCAACTTGAAGTACTTCACAACACAAATAACAAATAAATTTTTTTTTTTTTTTCCAACAACACTTGAAGCACTTTTGATTTATGCTTTTTTCTGGATAATGTGGCTTTACCATGAAAACTTGCAAAATAACATACTGCTGAAAGATAATATATAGACTATACTGATTCAATCGATTGCTCTTGTCAAGTGCCTAGCTCTGAAAAGAAAGAAAATGTTGAAAATTAATAGTGGAGTTTATATTCAGATTCTTGAAGAAGCATAAAAATATATGATGTAAAAACCGAAGCACTCACCTCTTAAGAGCAACGCTTGAAGTCACTAATTTCTTCTTCTTGGATGTGTTCTCTTCACTCTTGTTATGATTCTGAGCCTCAATCTTTCGACCATTATTACAAACCATAGAGGTTTTCCTATTGTGAATACAATGTATCCCATAGACAAGCCTATTACCAATCCGCATCCGTAACCCATCAAAGCGATTTTCCAATCGAACCAGCTTGAACCATCGTCTCCTTCATGGTAGATGGACGGTATTGGTGATGGCGGTTCATCATCCCCACATTTCTTTGACAACGGGAGTCCACACAACCCAAAGTTTCCAATGTAGGAATCATTTTGAAATGTATTAAATTGACTTCCTTGAGGTATAGAGCCTACCAATCGGTTGTATGAAAGATTCAACACAGAAAGAAATGATAGACTTGTCAATTGATTAGGAATCTCTCCAACAAAGCTATTAAAAGAGAGGTCTAATGATTCAAGTTCTGTCAAATTTTCCAATATTGGTGGAATATGACCTGTAAGGTTATTGTGAGAAAAGTTGAGGACTTGGAGGGAATCAAGCTTTCCAATTACTTCCGGAATTCGTCCTTGAAATTGATTGTTTGACAAATCCATCATCATGAAAATGGTTAGAATTCTATCTATTTCTCTATTAACACCTTTTACTGTCAATATAATTGAATAATATTGAACAGAGATAATATATTCTTTCCCAATACGCATATCTTCTGCCATATATTCCAAAGAACCTTTATGATTATCCCAACGCATCATATTAAAGTTTTCCAAATATCTTGTTGGCAAAAAACCAGTGAATTAATTGTGAGAGAGGTCAAGTATTCGCAACTTAGGAAACGATACTCTTGTCTTGGGATTTCCAATGGGACCATGAAATCTATTAGATCTCAATATTAGAACTTGTAATTTGGGAAGGGTTGCTAAACAATGAGGAAAAGTATCTTTAATCATATTGTTCCCAACATCTAGAACTTTCAAATAACTACAATTAACCAAAGTAGGTGGCATCGAACCCTCTAACTTGTTGCCATTAAGGTTAAGGTATTGAATAGATCTAATTGGGATGGTTTGGGCGATGCTACCATGGAAATTGTTGTTTCCCAGATTCAAGAATGATAGATAATAAAAGTTCCCTAGACATTTAGGAATTGTTCCACTCAAGCTATTGTTAGACAAGTCAAGACCTTTTATAATGCTCAAGTTGCAAATGCATGACGAGATCTCTCCAGTCAAATTATTATTGGAAAGTGATAAGATTTCCATAGGAGCTCCATCTGGCGTCACAGGTATTGGGCCTTGGAGCAAGTTGGATTGAAGATCAAGAACCATTAGATTCATCATTGAAATTTTTCTAGGACAATTAACACTTGTCAAAAAATTGTAAGAGTGATTCAAATGGTCCAAATTGTGAAGCAATTCCAATTGTAGTTCAGAAATCTTGCCAGAAATTCTATTGTTTGAAAGGTCTAGATGTGTCAAACTTTCTTGAGTTCTTAAGAAAATTGGAAATTGGGTTATGTTGCAAGAAGAGAAATTGAACTTGAAAAGTTTGGGTAAGGTAAAGTTGGCTTTGTGAGTAATTAATGACAATAAGGGGTTATGGGAAAGGTTAATAAAACTGAGATTTTTGAGGTTCGACAACATGTCTGACTTCACACAGCCACTCAAATTGTTGGATGAAAGGTCAAGTTCTACAAGGTTTAAAAGTTCAAACATGAAATTTGGAATTTGACCATGAATCTTGTTATTCCCCAAAAGAACTGTTTCCAATGGACCCACAACCTGATGGAACTCCTCAATTGGACCTGTGAGTTTGTTGTTGTCAAGGTATAATGACCCCAAAGATGGTAAAGTAAACAACCAACATGGTACTCTGCCATTTAGAAAGTTATCAGACATGCGGAGATCAGTGAGAAGTGAAAGACCACTTACTTGACAAGGAATATGGCCTTCAAGTTGATTGCTGGAGAAGTCTAAAAGAGAAAGTTGTATGAGGTTGAATGCTGAAGATGGCAACTGACCACTGAAACTATTGAATGAAAGATCTAGTTGAGTTAATTTGCTGAGGTTGCCAAAAACATCCGGTATCTGCTTTGAAAAATTGTTGTGACTGAGATCTAAACTTGTGAGCTCACTAAGTTTAGATGGTGAGGCATCAATTTGGCCAATGAAGTTATTGAAAGACAAGTCCAAGTGAGTGAGTTTCGTGCAGCTCCAATTTGACTTCGGTAAATTACAAGTGAGATAGTAATTGTCGGATAAAATTAGCCGCTGGAGGAATGGACGGTGGAAAACATCTTCTGGGAACTTGCCTTGTAGATTAGTGCCACTGAGATCAAGAGATATGAGAGTAGAAGACAAGTTTGCAGAGGAGCCGGCTGCAACTGAAGACATATTTACACCAGAAAGATGAAGATAACTTAATTTTGTTTGATTCTGCAAGTGTTTACTAAAATCCTGTTGGCTCAGTTCTGGAAACTGAAGGGAAAAATAACTGCTAGAAAGATCAATGGAAACAAGTTCAGATAGGTGAAAGATTTCAGTTGGTAATAGGCCAGAGAAGCCAGAGTACGAAAGGTTAAGATGTGTTAATTTCATGAACTGACCAAACTTGGATTACATTGAGGTTAGTTTGAAATTATTGCAAGCTAGATTAAGCTTTTGCAGATGGTGAAGGAGGAAGAGACCACTGTTGCCAGATATTGAGCCATAAAGTCCACTTAAAGCTAGGTCAACTTCAATTACTTGGCCTGTGAAGCTATCACAAGTGACACCTTCCCATGAGCAGCAATCACTACCCTCTTCCCGGGAGTCTGTCTTAGTATAACCATAAGCATAAATTGTAAAGCTATCCTTGAAATGGAGTAAGGCAAAGCTTTGTTCAGGAGAGCAAGGTTTTGCGGACAGAGAAGAAGAGTTAAAAGGGGATGAGAAAATAACTTGAAAATTCAAGTTGAAGAAGAGAAGGAAGGGGAGTAGCAGATTGTGGCATAAAAACCTCCACATATTTTTCAGCGGAAAACAAAAGAAACTGCAATTCAAATTGTTGGGACAGATGAGAAGTGAAGATGATATATCAATCTATATTTATAGATGAACAATTATAAAGGGAATCAGTAAATTAAATTAAATTAATTACCTTCCGGATTGATGCATAATGATTAATGACTCAGTTAAAAAACAAAGTCTTGGTCATCCACTACTACATCAAAGTCTTGGTCATGCACTAGCTAATGAATTTTTAATAACATTTTATCTCAAAATTGAAGGAAAAAAAGAATTACAATATGAATAAATTAATTTTTTAATTTTTTTTAATTTCGTATACTCACAAATAATTTTGTAAGGGCAAGTAATATAAACTTTGAAACAAGATTATTATTCAAGGCATACAACGGGATTATTGGAAAATACATAGAAAATTGCTAAAAGTATTGTATAGAAATTATAAAAATACATATTAAAAGTTTTAATAACATTAAAAATATTTTTTGAGTCATCTTAATATGTAGTGTCAGGGTAGTTAATTTTAATTAGCAACATGAATAAAACAATAATTCTTATATTATTTAGCAATACTTATATTCTGTTATAAATTGAAGGAATCCAATATAAACTATGTAAGGAGACTTGAATCGTGGCTAATGCGTGTAAGAAAGTAAATGCTTTTCTCAATCTCATAACGTGAGGACTAGTTCATGAATAATTGATCAAAACTTGGTCTTCGCTATGTATGATTCCAAGAAATATCATTCAAGACTCAAAACAATCCTATACCAAAAAGAGAGGGAAAAAAAAAAAAAAAAAAACTAATATCTACATTGTTGAATGAATGAAAATTTATTTTAATTAAAAGAAATTAACTCTGTTGATGGATGTTAACGAAAGTGCAAATTATTTTAATTTTATTGCTTCGATTTGGTTGATTTAGCTGTAATTAGAAGGAGAAATTTAATGGAATGAAAGATTAAGAAAGAAGGAATATAATGACTAGTGGATCAATGGAATATTTATGGTAAACGATCGGAATAGCCCGTTAAAGCAATGTTTTGGCTGTCAAGGTAGAATATATAAGTTTGATGCTTTGAAAACTGAAGTTTATAAAATTAACAATAAGTGACATAAACTATACAAATAATAAAAAGAAAAAAAAAAAACATAATTATTACTATGAAACGATATAAAAGTTATATTTATATATGATACCTTTTAAATACAAACAATAATTCTGATATTATAAAGCAAATGATAAAATCCTATTATAAATGGAAGAAATCCAATGTAAACTTAAGGAGACTTGAATCCGTGATTAATGCACTTCAAAAAGTAAAGTCTTCCATGTGCAAAACACAGGATAGGGTTCATGCAGAGAATAAAGCATTATTCTTTTCCCCATTTTTTTAAAAATGAATGATCTAAACTTTTTGGTGTGGATCGGTGAGAAATTACAAATCTTCTTGAGTCAATTAAAAAAAAAAAAAAAATTATACCATGATAATATCTCTCACTCTTACCAATGATGCTTTTTAATAATTCTTCAACTTACACAATCAAGAATTAAACGTTGGTCTCATCAAAATGTATCATTTCCACTTCCACATTGATAGTTTTTTCTAATTAATATTCCTTGGAGAAACTAGTGCAAAAGCAAATATATGTTTAATTAGCTACTCATTATTCATGAGTTTAAACTTGACCAAGTGCAATGCAATATTAAATTCTAGTATGGTCTTCGTCATCTTAAGCATACAACAACTTAATCAAATGCTCTAGGATTCATCAAATAATTTAATTAGCGCATAAAATCCTTGGACTATTAATTAACCAAAAAGCAGAGGTGTATGCACTAAACGTGAAGTCACTTTCTTGGTTGCAATTTAAACAGTAAATCGCATTTTGTAGAAGAAGTACACATGTGATCACAGTCGGTGCTACAAAAGGTTAATGATGTTCACTTTTGTGGATTGGATAATCATGCTAGACTTTGTTTTATTCACTTTAGTGATTATGTTAAGTGTTAATTAATGATCTTTTGATAAACTTAAAGTAGAATAGAATTGCCTGTTTTGTGATTAGTGAAGTTTGTAAATATAAATAGTGAAGGTGATGAGATGAATATAGTCTAGATTTATCATACCAAAAAACAAAAAAAAAAAAAAAAAATTTAATTATCAAATTATGCTGAATTAAGCTTCCTTGAAAAAGAAAATGAAAGTTCACCCTGGTGATAGTCTGATGGGTGTTGTTGCCCCCTGCATAGTAAGAAACAGGGCATTCCGTTACAAGAGAAGAGCATTGTGCTTTTATTTGCTTATGATAGGGGAATTCTGTTGTAAGAGATCAAGTTGGTTTTATCTAGTAATACCCTTTTTCTTTATGGTGAAAATTACGATAGCAGTTGCCTTTGTCCAAATAACATGGATCCTTCATTGATATTATCAAGTGATCTTTACAATGACCTTTTGAAAAAAACCCAAGGGAGCACAGTGACACAACGACCCCATAAGCCCTACAACATTGAAAGCTAACTTAGCTACACAACTTTTGGTGATCTGAGTTCAGACAAGGAATTCATCTTCTTTGCCAACATGAGAAACAAAATTGGAGGTTTGCGGAGACACGGAAATTTCTAAGGCATTGTGTTCCACATGATTTACAATTGAAGTCAAAAATTGAAACTGAGGCGACATGACTATCATTTATTATATGTTGGGAAATAAATATGCTTTTCTCCATATCCGTTTTATGCCTTGCCATGCCCAAGTGTTGAAATCTCACATGCATGTTTTACATGTTACACAAGTATCACATTGGGGTGATGATCAGGTGCCATGAACCCATTTCTCGACATGGTTAGACTTTTAGGGTTTGTATGCCTCTTGCAAATTTGATGTTAATTTGGTCGACCATGGATCTCCATTGTCTCATCTCAAACCCAAATTCCTCATAAGGCAGGCACATGGATGTTAATTACTTCCCCTGCATTGTAAGAACCATGACATTCTATTGTAATGATTGGTGGATCAATGAAATATTCATGGTAAACGATCGGTATAACCCGTTAAACCAATGTTTTAGCTGTCAAGGTAGAATAAGTTTGAAGCTTTGAAAAATGAAGTTAATAAAATTAGCAATAAGTGAAATAAATTACCATGGATACTGCAATTGTATTTTCTCAAACTCAATCACCTTATCTCATCTCAAAAATGGAGTAACAAACCAATTTATAAAAAAAATTACTCTCAAAATTCACACCCTTATAAACCTCATAAATGGCCTCTAACTTGACATTTTTTACTTTAAAAGAATAATGAAGACTTGTGTTGAAGGACTGTTGTTATTCTTTGTTTTTTATTGTCTTAATAGTAGAAAACTTAGTCATTAATGCCACCAACATAAATATGAATTATAAATTGAAGGAATCCAATGTAAATATAAACTATGTAAGGAGACATTAATCCATGGCTAATGCATGTCAAAAAGTAAATGCTTTTCTCAGTCTCAATCTCATATAGAGAGACTATTTCATGAGTTATTAATTAATCTTGAATGCAAATGTTTATGAACGTAAAATTTGAAGGTAATCAGTTGAAAATATTCTGATTGTTATCATCCAATTAGCATATTAATTAAAAAAATTCTTCTTCCTATTGTATGGTCAATATTGAGATACTCTAATTTGAGCAGTAAGTCACACGCTGAAGTGAAAAGCACAAATGACCACAAATGTTGTAATGGGGAGTTTAGATGATTAAGATGAAAATGTTGATATATGTATGGTTATTGTTATTTCTTGAAATTCAGTGGACATTTAGGGGATTGCCAAATATGGACTCAAAATGTGGATCTTTTTTAAATTTCCCATGTTTCTATCTATTTTTTGAGTCACAGATCATATTCCTATGACTAGACTGAATTGAGGCTATTGGAATCTGAAAAAAAGGGAGATCAGAGTTTAAATATGGAATCTTATCATTGACTAGACTGAATTGAGGCTGTTGGAGATATATCTTCTGTAGGAATTTATGAAGTTTAATATTCTTTAGTTTAAATCTATTTTCTCAAACGCATAAATTTATATAAATATAAATAAGCCTGGAGGCCACACCATATTGGTTACTTGGTTTAAATGCAAACAAAATTACTGAATCCAGTGCCTACGTTTTGATCTCGGTATATATTCATCTTTTGCTCCAGCCTTCGCCTTCTTACGCGTTTTGAAAATTATAGCATCTTAATTGGCTGATGCAATGGGGAAAGGCCTATATGACTTCCCCAGTAATTTAACTACCGCGTAGGAAGTCTTCATGACATTTTTTCTGCAGAAATTAATGACAAACGTAAGGTTAATGTATCTAAAGAGACTTAAGTATTGACTACTTCCCATCTAAGTT